CCAAGCTGAGTTGCCTGATCGGCAGAGGGTTTTTAAACCCTCTGACAATCAGACAACTCAACTGGGATCGTCAGAGTTTGGATCGTCAGAAGCATTTAAAAGAAAAAAAAATTTTTTCTTTTAAATGGCTCTGACAATCCCAGGTGAGTTGCCTGATTGGCAGAGGGTTTTTTGAAAAACTCTCTGCCGATCAGGCAACTCAGCTTGGATCGTCAGAGCCATTTAAAAGAAAAAAAGCCTCTGATGATCGCGCAACTCAGCTGGGCATGGAGGGGACAGGGATTTTTGCTACCGGTTCTCTGAACTACCCACCTCCATTACTACTGGATCGGGCGATCTGGTCCAAACTGGGAGCATTTCACCCCTGGTATGTATGCATGCATGAAAGTGTGATTCTTTCCTACCTATGTCAGAAGTCAAAACAGAGTGCAAGGAAAGAGCCAGGTTGGTCTGCTGTCAAGAGTTCCTGTTGCGCTTTTCTGGACTTCCACTCTTAGGTAGCAAAACAAATAATTAAGCTAAAAAAGTCTGGCCAAGGGGACTATTCTTGACTCCCTGGGAGAGTGTTTTTGTAATTCAGCACCTACATAGATGAAAGTTGTTGTTTTTTTCAAAGCTGTTCAATTTGTTCTCCTTTATATTGTATAAGGGGAGAAATATTCAATTCTGTCATGACAAGATAATTGCTTGGAATATCTAAAAGTTTTCATCAAGTGCTGAGACAATTTGGTGACTAAAACTAAGACAAGTCAAATGTTCTGTCTCATCCTCCCACATCATCACCAGTTTAACAGGATTCTTGCAAGGGGAGCTGGTTTACCTGATCCACTAGAAGACCTCCAAGGTCCCTTCCAACTCTGTTATTCCTTTATAAATACATTCCTGCAATATAATCAGTACCAAACAGCATGGTAAAGTTTCACAAAAATTCTGCCAAAATAACACTTGATTCTGATATTTTCTCCCAAGACAGAAAGAAACTCTGATGCGCTTTCAAGATTCTGCTGCTGTAACATTTCTGAAATTCCTGTGTCATTAATTGTAATCATGGTCTAACTTGGAAAAATAATACTTTTTTAGCACAATAATGGAAAATGTAGTATGGAATCCTTAAGGTAAAATTAGTGTCTTGTTGTTTGGGGACATGAATTATCCTGGATTTTGATATTCAGATAATGGTGGGTGGGTGGCTGAGATTATACATTATTTAAAAGAAAGATTACATGATTTATAAATATGCATGGATCTGAAAATAAATGTACAAGGCCAAATTAATTGAGTTTAGAGAAAAAGGAGAATAAACAATAAAATATGAAAATGATGAAAATCAGAGAAAATTGATTAATGTGTGTATCATGGCAGAAGGATTATCAGAAAAAAGGGAAAAGGATGAAATAATTTTGAACAATGCAAAAGTTAGCAGAAAGGTTCTGAGCAGTATATCATTTACTGAAAGCAGTGGATATTTATTTAATGACACAAAAATGGCAGTTTAAAAGAGCATTGTTCTTTACTAAGGGATATATTTTCTTTATTACAATGTCTATTCTTTTGGGAATATGATATTTGTTGTGTTCCCCAAGGAGTGACTTGTAAAACACAACAGACCACAGAGATGATGCAATTTTAACTTTGTGTCAAAGGTATCCTAGGTAAAAGTCCATTTATTCTCAGGGAGGTTGGCAGAATCTTCTTGGAAGCAAAATAAGCAGAAGTAAGTACCATAGAATATTCACTAATTCATTCTAGTACTAAGATCTTCTTCAGTTATGAAATGAGAGACATTTAATAAATGTTGGATAATTTGCAGTTGATATGTATAGTAAAAAAAAAAGATACCGATATGGTTGGTTTAATATTGCTGGATTATTATATATTAAATAAATATGTCCAGAAATATAATTATTGTAAATTATATCATGATGCATTTTTTCTTACAGTACTTGTGATATTTCTAATTATAAGTAATTATTTATAAAAAAAACTTGAGTAGGTTAGATAGAACACATTATCATCACAAATTAAAGCAGAAATGACCAGATAATTGGTTTTGTTAAAAGAATTGAGGAAAGACACCTGAAGGCACAATATCTTTATTTTCAAAAATTCTTTTATTTTCCATGTTTTAATACACTCTTACACACAGAACAAATTGGCAGTTATTGCTTTTTCCTTTGTACATGTGGATAAAAATGCCAAATTCAATCTAAACAACTTGATAACGTGAATGAACCATAAACATAGTAACTCCGCTTTTTTATTATATGTAAGATTCTCTTTGGTTACACAGACTATGATGAAATTTAATAAGTAAGTGAACATCACAATAATAATGCCTGATGTAGTGTCAGTGCAACAATTAAATTTTTTGTTGGTAGAAATTTGGAAGAAATATTTTTAAGGATTTTATCAGATTATTTTAAAGTAGTTTATTGCACCTGATTCTAAGTGGAGTTCTAAACTGGCAGGATATACTGCTGAATATATAAAAATAAGAATAGGGTTAAGAATAATTATAATTATTTTATATATTCTTATAAAAATAAGAATAGCTTCAAGAGGATTATGTTGAGAAACATCTGGTCATATCAGAATAGTTAATCTCACATAAAACCAAAATAACTCAATCAAGTAATTATAATTGCTTGTCTATAATCCTATATCCATTTATCTATACTGACAATACAAACTGTGTTTGGACCTCCAAACTGGGATCAAATGCTACAGGATAGAGTTAGAAGGATTTTACCTATATTCAGAAACATTGTATAACACTGTAACACAGAGACTGAGGACTCTGTCCTGACTCTATCCTGAATTTACATTGAGGGCTATAACACTTAGCTTTTAACAGAAGCTAAAAATTGCTATGAAGGCTCCATTATTCTAAATGAAATTAAGTAACTCTTTATCTTCTTTATTTCTTCAGATGAATACATATCAAGTAATCATTTTCTTCTTTACAGGTAATCCTTGATTTACAACAGTTTATTTAGTGACTGTTTGAAGTTACAACAGGATTGAAAAAAAAATGATTTATGATTGTTTTCACATCTATAACCATTGAAGCATCCTCATGGTCACATGATTTACATTTGGATGCTTAGCAAATGACTCATTTTTTTTTGAGAGTTTGCAGTGTCCCAGGGTCATGTGATCATCTTTTGTGGCTTTCTGACGAGCAAAGTCAATGGGGAAGCTGGATTCATTTAACGACCATGTTACTAACTTAACTAAAGTGATTCAGTTAATAACTGTGGCACAAAAAATCATAGAATGGGGCAAAATTCACTTAACAATTGTTTCACTTAGACACAAAAATTTGGGACTCAATTGTGGTCATAAATCAAGGACTATCTATATTCAAATACATTAATTAATGTGGATATATGCTTTCTTCTTTTGGGTGATTTATAGTTCATGGTTCTCTCCCAGTCAATTACTTATCAAATATGTTAATGTTCCAAAACTCTTGTGAAGGGTGCTTTGATTTAAAAAAAAAAAAACATTTACAAGGGTTTTTTTTTACAAAGTTCTTTAATACCATATTCTGAATTTCTAAAAGAAAAAATAAAAAATAAAATAAACAAACACAATATTTTATGAATAAGGTTAATGTCTACTTAACATCTCAATCATAGAAATCTCTTTTATATGTTACTATAAGTAATAATACTTTTGCATATATGGATATGAAAAATGTATTTAGCAAGATCATTGTCCAAGATCTGGTATCTCTATTGATCTCTAATCATACTTTGTTTTTATCCAGCATAATAGAAATAAAAAGAATGGACAATCAATCCAGTGTGACCGAATTCCTTCTGATGGGATTTTCTGATGATCATGATGTACAACTTCTACTTTTTTTCTTACTTTTCTTCATTTATTTGATAGCTTTGATTGGGAATTTACTAATTGCTTTTGTTGTGATTCTGAATCATCACCTGCACACCCCCATGTATTTCTTTTTGGTTAACCTATCCTTGACTGATATTTGTTATATCACAACCACTATCCCCAAATCAATGGCAGTTTCATTGACAGATAACAAAACAATTACTTTTCCTGGATGTATGGCTCAAGTTTTCTTAATTATTGCTTGTATAGGTTCTGAGGTTGCCTTGCTCACCATCATGGCTTATGATCGTTATGTAGCTATCTGCCATCCTCTGCGATATAGCCTTATTTTGAACCGGGGTGCATGTAGCCAAATGGCACTTGCTTCCTGGATTAGTTCCTTCGTCCATGCTTCATTGCAAACCACCATAACGTTTCAATTAAATTTCTGTGGGTTGAATATCATTGGACAATTTTTTTGTGATGTTCCTCAGTTACAAAAAATTTCTTGTACTGATACAAAATTTAATCAAATTTTCATGTGGATATCTGGATTCATTGTGTGTATATTCTGTACAGGTTTTGTTTTTGCTTCTTATGGTTACATCTTCTCAGTTATTCTAAAAATTCCATCCAGTCAAGGAAGATATAAAACTTTTTCAACTTGCAGTCCACACTTGACTGTCTTTTCCTTATTTATCATCACATCTATGTTTTCATACTTGAGGCCACAAACTCTTTCTTCTCCCACGATGGACTTACTATCTGCGGTTTTGTATGCGGTGTTGCCTCCAGTTCTGAATCCCATCATTTATAGCTTCCGAAATAAGGATATGCAAGAATCTCTGAGAAAAACAGCACCAATAATTAAAAGAAATTTCTTAGCCTAAGAGACTACTTTTCAATGTGAGACACATTGCATTAAATTTTTTGGATATAGTATAAATGATTCCACATTTTTTTCTCCTGTACTATAACTGTACACTTACTGTTACTGAATGTATGGAACATTTCACAGCATGGCCTTCTGTTTTTGCTTGTTGTATATGATTACCTGCTTCAACCACTGCATCAAACTGTTTCTCACAGAAATATATAATCATCCACTCCCAAGCACACACCTAAATTTATATCCTACACTAATTGTTTGTTAAGTAAGTCTTTTCTGAAGTCTGGTATAGTTATTTCAAAAAGTTTGCAACTGGAGACATGAAAACAGAGCTATTTTGTATGTAAATGATGCAATGCTGTTGGCTGAGAACATGGATTATTTGAGGAGGATATTTGATATTATATAGGTTGCAACATAGATCTGAATTTTATTAAATATCAAACTGGCTCTTTTTCAAAAGAAAAATGCTGTGACAAGTTGATTAATGGAAACACAATTGGAAAGTTTTTTCGTAACATTCTTCAGTTACAAAAAATATTGCACTGTTCCAAAAAGTATCACCAAGTTCTTGTCTAGGTCAATGGATACACTTTTATTCATTTTGTACTGGATTCATTTTTGCTTCTTCTGCAATCTTGCCTACTGTGTGCAAGATTCTACCTGTTGAAGGCAGGTATAGAACTTTTTCAACTTATAGTCCTCATTTGGCTGTCTTCTTTGTATTTATCATCACAGCTATGGTTATCCAAAGCACTATAAGAGAAATAACATCAACAGTTAAAAGTAAATCCTTAGCCTGACTGATCCATTACATGATGTTCAAACATTCTTTCCAAATACAAATAAAGCTACCATCATGCTCTGAAAATTAGGTCACTTTTAGCCACATTAAATCTATGAATAAGGGGTACACAAGAACTTTTCAACTGGATTATGGACTGGAGTTGAACCTTAACTGCAGCACCTCATGTTTCATATGAACCAAGACACTGACATGTGGTTGTGTTTATAGAGATGGCACCTTCCCCCAATGGATATGAAAAATATAGCCAGAAACGTTTTGTTTAGATGTTTATCCATTCTATTTTATAGTCACCTAACTCAACCAAGTAACTCTGGGCAACTTACCATTCCATGAAAAGCAATATACTTTTGTATTTCCAGATGTGTGCCTTCACTGACCTGAAGTTAATACTTAAAACTGAAAAATTAAAAAGGAACAACAACTTGAAAGAAATATTAATAATAAGTATTGTTCATGTTACTATAGTAAATGCTTTAAGATATTTAAATCATAAGTGTCTATGTACATATATGAATACTTGAAGTCTATTCCAAATGAGTCATTTCTGCGCTTGAACATGTATGATCTATTGATGTTGGGTAAAAGACTAAGGGATCACAGATTTCCTCAGCAAAGCTGAAATAATTATTGTAGGGCTTCCTCCTGAGATTTGTAGCTTGGGCAGAGATAATTTCCCACAGACAGAAACTCCTGCCCGTATACAGTTTTCAGCTTGTTAATGTCTACCTCCTTGCTAAGATTTAGTTGCTCTAATTTTCTCAGATTGATCATAATTACTTTGTATCAACAACTAAGTGTGTTGTGCAACTGAGAAAGCAAGTGGGATTCCATAATACAACTCCTGAAACCAGTGGGAATAACAATGCTTCTTCATGGAATTGTGATGGTCCTTAAGAAATGACTCTCTAAACTACTGCAAAAAACAACAATGATGAAATATTTTTGGCTCTTTCTGTAAGATTACAGTCAAAATGGATGGTTCACTGATCTTCCAGGAAAACAAAAGCAAATACAACTTCACCTTTTCGTTCTGAAAATAATATTGAGCTGAATGTAATTTTTTTGCAGTCTATGTAACAAGTAAGTGTAAAAACACCTATATTTTAATTATGAATACTTTGTAAGCCATGTATTGTCTTCTTGGAATAAGAGGAAGCTTCAATGTGTTGGTGTTATTATTATGTTTATACTGTTATATATTGAAATAGTGCTGCATGATAGGAGGTGGGCAACTTCTATCTCTATTGTCTTATATAGAGAATTATAATGGTAGAATAAAGGCCAAATACATTATTATTTTAGTACTAGCATTGGTATTAAGTTCATTTCACACTTCTTCTTATAAGATAATACCTCAAAAAATTTAAAAATGTATCCATCTACCTCTTACCTACACACCCACCTCATGGGAGAAAAGGGATAATAGAAAAATGACTTTGGAAGCAAAAACAATTTATCCAATGTTCAGAGTAAGCCCAAGTAAAGTGATAGGCCTTCAGTAGGGCTCCTTAAGATTTAGCACTATGGATCTAATATATTTCAGGGGAGAGAAGCTTTGAGATTGAGCAATTGCAAGATAGGTAGCTTAATGTGCTTAATATGCTTACAATAGGGTTTCCTTAGATGATTTCAGCAATTAGTGAAATCTTTCAGAAAACTTCATCCCAAATTATGTGGACAATCATCTAACTGTAACCATTAGTTTACAATCCTAAAGAATCTAAGGGGCTGGGGTCAAGCAATTTCTGCCTCCTTCTGATGATTATGCCTCTCTATCATGATTGCTATGCTGGAATTGTAATAGAATCAGGATTTTGTAACTTTCATTCAGATCATCTTAAAAAGGAGTTATCAAATCATTCAATTCATTGACCCTTTCTTGAAGTTTCTGGTTGCTTATTGACCGCAAATATTTATTATATTAAAACAATTTAATGAACAGTACTTTAATTAATATTACTTATTAACAGAGATTGATATTGACCAGTTTGGGGAAACCTGTATTAACTACTGTATGAACACATTTCTGGTAATATCATATATGAAGGAGATAGTTAAAACTGGAAGTATAGTAGGCTGTAAGTGATAAATTAAAACTTTTCTTTCTGGCCACAGAGAAAATTACTTACATGTACTTTAAAAAACAGATCTGCCATCTCAGTACTTAAATAATTTCTACTATTTCCAGCAGGTTAGATTGTGATTCATAGAACCATTGTTAAAATAATAGATATATCAGTTACATATTTTTTCCATGGATAGCTATAAGATTGAATGAGCCAGGGTCCAAAAAGATCCAGATTACCTATTTCAATATATCATTTTTCCCCACTTACAATTAGGAATATTGTAAGTGAGAAGAATTGTTTTTAATCTATTGCAGTAGATCAGTGAATTTTATGAAAGTTCATTAGATTTGCTAGCTGTGGGACATACACACTATTGACATTCCAATATAGTTACATGAGGAATTTATAAACAGTTGGGGAAAATGTTATGAAATTTATATTCTTCACAAATTGATTAATAATTTAATTATTTTCCACAGGATTCAAATAGATGAAATGGACAACCAGTCTACAGTGAGAGAGTTTGTTCTGATGGGATTTTCTGATGACCCAGATTTGCAAATGTTGCATTCCGTGATGTTCCTTATTGTTTATATAACAGCTTTTACAGGGAATTGTCTCATAACAGCAATGGCAACTGACCACCACCTTCATAGTCCAATGTACTTCTTTTTGGTCAACCTCTCCCTTTTAGATATTTGTTCCATCTCCACAACAGTTCCAAAATCCATAGCTGTTTCATTGACAAACAACAAAGCAATTTCCTTTGCTAGATGTGTTACTCAGACCTTTTTGATGGTTATATTTGTTGGTGGTGAACTTGCTTTATTAACTATCATGGCTTATGACCGTTATATAGCCATCTGCCGTCCTCTGCAATATAGGCTGATCATGAATTGGAACGCCTGCATTCAAATGGTAGCAATCTCCTTCATATGCAATCTGATCAATGGGGTCTTACAAACCAGTATAACTTTTAGATTAAACTTTTGTGCGTCAAACATGATTGGCCAGCATTTCTGTGACATTCCTTAACTACAAAAGTTTTCTTGCACAGATACAAAAATCAACCAAATTTTGATACTTGTTCTTGGGTTCTTTTTGGCTTCCTTTATTTTTACATTCATCTTGGCTTCTTATACTCACATATTTTTGTCTGTGATGAAAATTCCATCAGTTCAAAGCAGGTATAAAGTTTTTTCTACCTGCACTCCCCACTTAACTGTTTTTTCTTTATTTATGACTACTGCAGTATTTTCCTATGTGAGGCCCAAATCCCTCTCTACTCCTTCTGTGGACTTGCTTTCTGCTGTTTTGTACACAACACTGCCACCAGTTTTGAATCCTATTATTTATCGCTTCAGGAACAAGGACCTACAAAAGGCCCTCAAGAAAATACTGAAAAAAAATTAAGGAATTCATGATATGATTACAAAAATTGAATTCTTTTAAAAATGCTAATTGTGGTATAACTTTGATGTGATTTAGCATTTGCAGATTTATTTCTTTGTATTCATTTTTCATATTTATTGATCAACATAATGAATGAGACCCCTTGAAACAGACTACATTTACTGACTAGTGTGTGCCTATTTTTACATCCTTGTTTACTTATATCAATGCCCAATGCCCCCATTGGGATTAAATAATCCCAATATTTAAAAAAGGAGATTGCACAAACCTTCTAACTTGTTGATGTTAGGGAGTTTGTAGTAGAAGACGAAGCAGGTTTCTGAAAGAAATATAGTAGTAGTACAGATCAGTGTTTCACTTTGCAACATCTGATTCACAAATCATCTTCAGTGCTATGTGGAGATATTTGTAGAATTTCTGACAATCAAATCAATCTGTGAGCAGTTACACCAGAGTTTCCTGGATAACAATCTTAACAAGTTAGCTTTTAAGATGTTGACCACCACATAGGTTCAGGCAATGATAAATTCCTCACTGCATGAATGGATGTCTCTAGGATCTTTTAAAAAGGCTCTTGGGTACCCACTCCTTAAAAAAAATCCTAAATTGTCCACCTACCTGGACAACTTTTGTTCATTTCCCATCTCTCCCTTTTAGGGAAGGTAGTAGAAAAGTTTATTGAATGGCAGCTTCAGAGGGTCTTGCATGAATGGACTTCTTTTGAGGCCTGGTTGTGAGACAGAGACAATGTTAGCCAATGATCTGTGGTATGAGTAGGAAGGGGGTAGTACCTCCATTCTTGCTCTCCTTGACTTCTCAGTGGCCTTCAGTATCATCAATCATGGTATCCTTTTGGGTGGCTATGGCAACTGGGACTGGACAGCAAAGTTTTGTGCTGGTTTGTCTCCTTTCTCAATGGCCAGTCCGAACTGGTATTGATAGGATTGAAAGTCCAGCCCACAAATGCTCCTTTGTGGCATGTCACAGAGCTCAGTACACTGCCCATTCCTTTTCAACATCTACATGGAGCTGCTGGGTGAAATCATCTGCCATCATGGGTTGAGGTATCATCAGTATCCTGATGATACCCAACTTTATATTTCTATTCTAGGTGAACTAAGTGGTGCTGTTGCTGCTGGAGGATGAGATAGCAACATCTGGCTCAAAATGTGACTGTGTAGACAATACTGGGGGTAATACTATGATAGCCCATATAACATCTTTGTTAGGTGAGTTGTATTACTGCCAGTTTGCTTCTGGGTCCAATTCAAGCTATTAGTAACTACATATAGACCTCTTTATTGCATGGTTATGGCTATCTGAGGAACTCCTCTTGTGCCAGCAGAAACAGCAGACCCTATTGGGTCAAGGAACTTCAGCTGTTGTGGTCTAGGAGATGAATGTTTTCTGCTGTGGTGTCTGCCCTTTGTAACCCTGCAAAGTGACTTCTTGACAAAGTAACAACCTTATGGCCTTCCTTAAGTAACTTAAAACCTGCTGATTTACCTGGGACCCAGACAGGGACATGCCATAATGGAGTTGGTTACTGGATTAGAATATTCCACCTGCACTCTATTGTATACTCCCCACTATTGTAGCTATTTCCTTATTATTTTTATTATATTGTCTTACTATTTAAAACTTTTATAATATTGTTTTTATCAGATTTGAAGTCACAGGTCAGCAAGATGGGCAGCAAATAAATGTATTTTTAAAAAATAAAATAAATAAAGTAAAGTAAAATAAAGTAAAATAAAATAAAATAGAATAAAATAATAAAATGAAATAAAATAAAATAATGAAATGAAATGAAATGAAATAAAATAAAATAATAAAATAAAATAAAATAAAATAAAATAAAATAAAATAAAATAAAATATTGGGGTGATTTTAGTAACAGTTGTACCACTATGTCACATCAATCTGCTGTCAGATCTTTCTGGGCACCCTTATCTAGTAGGGAGAAGGCCACCTCAAATACTACTATAATACTATACTATACTGATTCCCTTCACAGATTTCAGTTGTCTCCAATAGATGTGCAGGTATACCCATTTTATTGAAGCAAAATTGCCCCACCTTGATGCTTTGATTCAAGGTGTTCAAGCAGAGAAGTTCACTGTTTTCCAGAACTCTCAGATGGAATGATGCATTAGTTTTGGAAACATTAGTAACGCTTGGGTGAGACTTGAAGATGAGAAAGATCCAAGTGAGGGCATTTCTTGCTTGACTATTATTCTCAGTGGTGGGATTCAATTTTTTTACTACCGGTTCTGTGGGTATGGCTTGGTGGGCGTGGCTTGGTGGGCATGGCAGGGGAAGGATACTGTAAAATCTCCATTCCCTCCCCACTCCAGCGGAAGATTACTGAGAAATCCCCATTTCCTCCCCATCATCTGGGACTCGGGAGGCAGAGAATAGATGGGGGCAGGGCCAGTCAGAGGTGGTATTTACCAGCTTTCCAAACTACTCAAAATTTCTGCTACCGATTCTCCAGAACTGGTCAGAACCTACTGAAATTCATCTCTGATCCACATGCAGACACATATATTTCCCCAATTTCTGTCATCTACAAATACATTTCACAACTGATATTTACATATCCCATATGGAAATTTAAAGTTGATGTACTATAATTGCACACACACATATAATTTCTATATCACTTTACTTGTGAAGTATTAAAGAGAATTCTAACATGCATTCTTCTGCCAATTTGAATCCCATTTGAAGATTAAAAATTAGAGGTTATCACAGCAGAGAAAGGAGTGATTTAAAAGATGATTAACTAAATTACATATTTGTTAGTAAAACTCTTGATAATATTGTGAAACAAAAGCCTCCAAGGAGTAATTCCTTGCAGAATCACAGATAATAATTATCTTTTTTTAAAAATGCTATTTGGTTTAATAAGGGTCATATTTAATCACAGCAATGCACTGTCTTCTAAAGAAAATTTAAGTGAGTACAAACCTCTGCATTTGTTTTGAAGAAAAGTAAGAATGGCTAGGATGCTCAAGAAATGAATCAGTTCTAAAGAAAGTGGGGCATTGTGCTAAATCTTATTTTTGAAATTGCTGTTTTTACTAAAATGGCTATATTTTAAAATTAAAATATTTTCTAGAGAGAAAAATGTAATTGTAAAGATGGGAAACTCAAACTTTGTAAGTAAAGATTTGTTTCATATTTCAAAATGCTGATGAGCTTTATAGAAATACTACAAAATATAAGGATGAATCTTATCTATTTCATTAAGAATTTCATTCAATTAGCTAATATTCTGAAGAGAAAAGAATTCCATCTGATTCCAAGGAAATTTATGATTTCTAGCATGCTAAATAAATAAATAAAGTTCTCAGAAGAGACTGATCTGTAATCAATGTGATGTGAAATCCAGTATAATCAAACACTTTTTAAATGTGGTATTTACTTTTCGGATAGGAGAACACAGGACACAATCTAAAAGTATATTCTTCCCTTCCATGTATCTGGCTTTGAAGTAAACTATAAACAATTCTAAGATAGTCAGAAGTTTATGTAATTAATATAAAACCTCTGCTGATCTAATAAATTAATTATTCTTATTTATCCTCTCTTCCCCAGTTATTATTGTTTTCTATGCATTTCTGGAATACTTCAGAATTCTATGTATTAGTTTCAAAGTTTTGAAGGAGATCCATAAATTTATATGTCACAAATTCTACACCTTTCCTAAGCAACAAGAACATCCAGTTATTATATTTTAGACAAAGGCAGAGAGGGCAGGGAGGGCTGGTTTTGTTTTTGTTTTGTTTTTTTGGTTACAAATAAGAATACCAACATTTTGGAAGCTTGATTTTCAAATGCTATACATTTGGTTTTATATTATCTGACTCATTGCACTGAATTCCTATTTTGTATCTGAATAATACTGAAAAAAAGTTGTTAGCCTAGAGTATGGCAACTGTTTGTATCTGAGTCTTTGACAATGTGAGTGGGATATTTGGAATGTATAATCTTGCAAGGGGATGGGAGGGATATTGCTAAAGGTATGTTCCTCATCTTTCATGTTCTTGTAACTTTTTTTTTTTTGTAGGATAAAATAAGTAGAATGACCAACCACACTTCTGTGAGATATTTTGTTCTGATGGGATTTTCAGATGACTGGAATTTGCAAATTTTACACACTGTGATATTTCTCTTTGTTTACTTAATCACTTTAATGGGGAATTGTCTCATTATAATGGCAGTGGCATTTGATCACCATCTCCACAGTCCAATGTATTTCTTTTTGGCGAACCTTTCCTTTGTAGATATTTGTTCTATCTCTACCACACTTCCCAAATCGATAGCTGTATCTCTGACAGACAACAAGGGAATTTCTTTTGGCGGATGTGTCACACAGGTCTTTTTCATGGTTACATTTGTCGGTAGTGAGCTGGCTTTGTTAACTATTATGGCTTATGACCGTTACGTGGCCATCTGCAACCCTCTGCAGTATAAGATGATCATGAACTGGAATGCCTGTATTCAAATGGCAGTTGCCAGCTGGACTTGCAACCTGATCCATGCAGTGCTGGAAACAGGGATCACCTTTAGATTAAACTTCTGTGACTCTAATATGATTGGCCAATATTTCTGTGACATTCCTCAGTTACAAAAGATTTCTTGCACTGATACAAAAGTCAATCAAATTCTGATACTTGTACTTGGGTTCTTTTTTGACTCTTTTTGTTTTGCACTCATCTTTGCTTCTTATGGTTACATTTTCTCCACCATAATTAAAATGCCATTGGTCCAAAGCCGACATAAAGTTTTTTCAACTTGCACTCCTCACCTGACTGTTTTTTCTGTATTCATAATCACAGCTGTGTTTTCATACATGAGGCCAAAATCACTTTCATCTTCTATAGTGGATTTATTGTCTGCTGTTTTTTATACCATTTTGCCTCCAATTTTGAATCCCATCATTTATAGCCTCAGAAATAAAGACATCCAAAATGCTGTCTTGAAACTACTGCAAAATGTCATATACAGTATAGATTGTTGGCAAAGTATCAACTTTTTATAAAGATTAAACATATCCTCTGGATTATCTTGTCCTGCAATGCAAGAGGTTCCCTTCCTTAATATTCTCCTAGAAGGCTTTAAACACCTGACAAGTTTTCCAGTTTTGGAGTAGAGTGATTGTGGAGCTCTTATCGAAATACTTTGTATATGACATGAAGTTTCTTTTTGTCTGATAATGCACTTTTGTTCTTGTTCACTTGTTTAATGTTTCTTATTCTTTTGTAATATAAGCCATTCTGGGTCATTTTGGAGTTGGATATATTTAAATATTTTGAAATAAACAAATTGTATCTATACAGATGTGGTAGGACTTAATGAATCAAGTATCATTCGAATTAACACATTTCACATGTATCAAGATAAAAAGGATTTTATTATGCAGAACTATTTTACCAAGTTAAATGCGATTATTGGTTACTATTTTAAATAGTGTTTTTTTAAGAAAAAATATTTTAGATATATTACCTTACATAAATTGTACATTTCCTTGACAATTTTCTTCTCATTTACTACTTGATTAGTTTTAAATGCTGAAGTCCAGATCAAGTTAATTGTTTTGCTTCGCCATTGACAAACTTTGTTTCTGAATAGCATTCTAGGCTAAATATAATTTTAGTATATTTAGCCTGAATAGCCTGCAACTAATAAATATATTTTTAAAGAAAAGTGTTTGACATATTTGATTTGAATTTCATATGGAAAATTCTTTTTTTTTTTATCAAATTAAACATAACATAAGTTAGAGAAAAAAATCATAAAGTTTTTTCAAATTATTATAAAATATAGCTTTATAGAACATCATTTGGAATAGTATCAGTTCCTTTTGCTTTATCCAATATATACTTTGGTAAATAAAGAACACACTGAGATATGTATACTGAAGTGTCTTCAGACCATACTGATTTCCTTGGTTAGCACCGAGGAAATCAGAATCAAACACGGATGAACAGGGGAAATCTTTACTTTTATTTTTAGACAATGGTCATTATTCAGAGGAAAAAAAAATACTTATATAATAGTATATTTATGGAGTATTTGAGTTCAGAATGCTTGCTGGGGACTAGGCAGATAAATTGCAGAGATTTGATGAAAGACAATTGACTACACAACATTGTGATATTTCAGGATGTCCATCTTGATTAAGATAAGCATTGTCAAATTGAGTAAGAGTTGTAAATGGCAATACTCAAGATTGGATTTAAAGGCAATATTTAGGATTCCCAGCACAGCTCATTTAAAGGTTGAAATAATAGTGAGATGTATTGACTTGAAGGAAATAAACTATCCCTACAGACATTTAGACAGAAATATGAATTGTTGTCTTGATCATCTCCTAAATTGGAAATTATAGCATATTTGGAGGAATTCATGGTTAACTCTGCTTTAGCGATCTATAGAAATCAGGCAATCTTTCAACAATGAAAAAAAATGAAGCTAATGGAATTTGTATTTCCTTATGTATACCCTCATTAAATTGAAATAAAAACTTAAACTGAAAAATTAAAAAATAAACAATTGCTTAAGAAAATATAATTATTATTGCTTCTGTTTTGTTGCTATAGTTGTTGCTTTGAGATTATGAAAACATAATCATCTATGTGTATCTATGAATTCTTGAAGACTACTCCATATAAGCCGTTTCTGCTTTTCCTAGTTCAGATTTTTTTTTTAAAAAAAAAATCTTTATTCATTTAGAAAATTTGTATGACTTCCCAAATCATACATGGTGACTCTGGGTAGCTTACAAAACTAAAACCCCAAATACAAAACCCAACATCCCCCCCACTCTTTGCTCTTGTACAGTGAATGATCTATAGATGTTGGGCAAAAGAGCAAAGGATGTTGGGCAACAGAGCAAAGAGCAGTGCTGAAATAATTGTAGTGGATCCCTTGGAAGTTTGTAAATTGGGTATGGCTAATTTTCCACTGGCAGGAATTTCTGCCCTGAACACAATTTTCTGCTTGTCAATGTCTGCCCCTTGAGGAGATGTAGTTGCTCTAATTTTTCAGCTCAATCACAATTTATTTCTATCAACCACAGTGGCAGTAGGGAAATTCCCTTGATGTTGTAGTAAATTCTGCACTGAGCAGACCTAGACATGATGACTTTACTTCTTTATTGATAAAATGCTCTGAAGTTACTTAGGCTAGAGAGCAGAAAGAATGACACTCTGTGTAAATGTGATATAAACCACAAATTGGTGTTTAAAAACAGCAAGGCCCTGATATTATTTTATGGCTTAATATGTTCAACTAAGAAATTAAGTATATTCCACAATGTACAGTAGCTCCTAAGACCAGAGTGAACAACAATGATTCTTTGTGGAATTATTATGGTAATCCCCAAGGAATTACTCTGAAATATTACAGGAAGAAACAGTGACAAAATAGTTCTTCTTCCCTGCTACATACGAATGCACCAGTAAGATCACAGCCAAGAAGGTCACACTGATCTTCAAAAAAAACCAAAGTAAGTACAATCTTTTTAATTTTTCTCCATCCTTGACCAGTGTTTCTAAACATGCTTAACATTTTGGTTCAATTTGGTTCAGTTTGGTTCACTTTAATGTAATTATTAAGTTTCTACATAATGAGAGACTTTAGTGCTAAATTCCAAATATAAATAAAATATGAGGCATTTATTCTCTTACTGGAATAGGGAAAACCTATGCTGTTATCATTATTAGATTTATATTATTATATATTTAACAGTGTTTTGATAGGAATGTGAACAACATCTGTCTCTGGAGACATTTGCAAGACCTGTCTGAATGGTGGATTAAGGGTCATATACATTATCATTTTAAATAGCAGTAATAATATTTAATGCATATCATACTTCTTACATTATTTCAAAAATTTTGAAACGATATCAATCTACCACATACATACATACATACATACATACATACATACATACATACATATATACATACATACAAACATACCAGGAAAAAAGAGGTAGTAGAAAAATTAACTTCAGAAGCAAAATAATTCATCATACATGTGTGTGTGTGTGTGTGTGTGTGTGTATGTGTGTGTATGTATGTATGTATGTATGTATGTATGTATGTATGTATGTAGCCATAATTCAGTGAAATTAAGCCTTACAACAGACAGCAAAATGCTGGTTAATGTCTGATAAAGCCTAGAAAATAGTGAATTGGGATTTTACTGAACTATGGCTATATAAACATCTTGATTTACGTAGGAATAACCCTGGCTAAAACAATAATACACATATAGACCTACGAAAAAAAGAACAAAATAAATATTTCACCGTTACAGGGAGGAGTCATAAGATGAGAATGTGGCTAACTGATGAAGTCAAATAAGCCAGAAATAGATCTATTTTAGTCTCCCTTAAGTCTTACAACAGACAGCAAAATGCTGGTTAATGTCTGATAAAGCCTAGAAAATAGTGAATTGAGATTTCACTGAACTATGGCTATATATATATGTATGTATGTATGTATGTATGTATGTATGTATGTATGTATGTATAGTTAATATTTCGGGTTTCTTCCCGTGTAATTGTGGATATATCCCTAAAAGGGTAGAAGCCTGATGATGGCAGATGGGATTCTGTCGAAACGTCGCTTCTACCCTTTTAGGGATATATCCACAATTACATGGGAAGAAACCCGAAATATTAACTATACACACATATAGACCCGTGAAAACTTACATACATACATACATACATACATACATACATATATATATATATATATATATATATTATATAGAAGGGATACTGTAGCTCAGTGGCTAAGATGCTGAGCTTGTCGATCAAAAGGTCGGCAATTCAGCGGTTCAAATCCCTAGTGCCGCGTAACAGGGTGAGCTCCTGTTATTTGTCCCAGCTTCTTTGACTTTTATTAGATTTCTATACCACCCTTCTCCCAAAGGAGTCAGGGCAGTGTACAGCCATACTAAAACACATATAATTTACAAAATTTAAAAAACCATTAAAATTGGATATACAAAAATTTGGCCCACAAATTAAAACTAACATACACCCATTTAAAATTCATATTCATGTTAGGCCAGCCTGGCTTGTTGAAATAAAAGGGTCTTCAGGGCACAGCAACAGGTGTGCAGGTCGAGGATCATACGTACATCTAGGGGCAGCTCGTTCCAGAGGGCTGGTGACCCCACAGAGAAGGGTCTCCCCCTGGGTGTCGCCAGTCGACATTGTTTGGCTGATTGCACCCTGAGGAACCCCTCTCTGTGGGAGCAAGTTAGCCGGTGGGAGGCTGTTGATGGCAAAAGGCGGTCTCATAAATACCCCAGTCCTAAGCCATGGAGCGCTTTGAAGGTGGTAACCAACACCTTGAATCGCACCCGGAAAACCACTGGGAGCCAGTGCAGCTTGCGCAGGAGAGGTGTCATGTGGGTGCGACAAGTTGCTCCCATAATTACCCGCGTGGCCGCATTCTGGACCAGTTGGAACCTCCAAGTGCTCTTCAAGGGGAGCCCCATGTAGAAAGCATTGCAGTAGTCCAGACGTGACATGACGAGGGCATGAGTGACCATGCACAGGGCATCCCGGTCCAGAAAGGGACACACCTGGCGTATCAGGTGAACCTGATAAAAAGCTCCCCTGGCCACGGCTGTCATATGCTCTTCCAAAGACAGCCATGCATCCAGGAGAACACCCAAGTTGCGAGCCCTCTCTAAGGGGGCCAAGATCTCACCCCCAATAGTCAGCGATGGCACCAGCTGACTATACCGGGAAGCCGGGAACCACAGCCACTCGGTCTTGGAAGGGTTGAGTCTGAGCCTGTTCCTCCCCGTCCAGATCCGCACGGCCTCCAGGCACCGGGACATCACATCAAGGGCATCATTGGGATGGTCCAGGGAGGAGATGTACAGCTGAGTGTCATCAGCGTACTGATGGAATCTCACCCCGAAACCACAGATGATCTCACCCAGCAGCTTTACATAAATGTTGAACAGAAGGGGCGAGAGGACCAACCCTTGTGGCACCCCACAAAC